GAATTTTGTGAAACTAAAGATCAGATTGCACATATTCTAACGAAGGCATTGCAAGTTGGGAACTTTGGAAGATTGAAGATGGAATTGGGCGTGGATCAAGCGTCTAACTTATAGGGGCAGTGTTAAAATATAAGCTAGACGTTACCAGTAGATAATATAGTTATTTATAGCTATTACGTGACAGCTAATAGGTCGGTTATGGTCTGATGTAACCGCCACCAGTTTGAACAGATGTGTTTGTTCATGGTGTTTGTCCAAATAATGAAATAATGTRTTTGCATATGTATTCTCTAAGAGGGAGGTTCATGTATAATGATTTCTAATGTATGAGTTTTTTGTTTTTTAATATAAAATAAACACCATATTGTCTTTGAATTAACATAGTTATAGTTAACGGTGTTATAATAAAAATAAACTAAAGTGACCATAATTGTAAAAAAAAATTATTTAAGGGGACCAATCCATAATATAAATGAAATCACGTTGACCATACTTATAATTAGGGGTACTCATGGGTTGAGTTGATCGGGTTGAAAACATTTGAACAATCCAATCCAATGCTTGCGGTTTGAAAAAATCTTAACCCAACCCATACGGGTTGGTCAGGTTAGTCGGGTTGATACTTTGGTATATTAAAATATTTTTYTAACCTTGAATATGTTATTTCTCTACTCATAATTTCTTTTCCATCATCAACCATTTGATACAACTTATCCATGTTTCTTACGTATATCACATTCAGTTAATTTTCTCAATTTACATATATATGTTCACGGTTACTGAACATATATATGGATGAGTTATATAGAAATATGAATAGATTGAAAATATGTGTATATGAAAAACATACATGATAGTGTAATTGTTTAATGTATATATTAATAAAAATTCAACAATCATATTAAATCCAAGAAATAAAAGGATATCGGGTTCATCAGGTTGGGTTGGGTTCAAATAATAGTAACTCAATATCAACTCAATACCTACGGTTTGATAATTTTACAACTCGATTAGCATCGGGTCGCTTCGAGTTGGGTTGATCGGGTTTTTAAGCACCCTTACTTATAATTATTTCGTTTGAGGGACTTAATCCATAATTTTAGTATAACCATAGAGAAGAAATTTGTAATTTACTYTATTTTTAAACATATTTAAAATTTTATAATAGAATAAAAATACCTTTTTAAGGATATTTGATTAACTATAAATCATAATAATTTATAAAAAAAACACTTAATTATTTAGTTTTTAGTATTTATTTATTTATTTATTTGTGGTTTTTATATTTATTTATTAGAAAAGGAGAAAAAGGAAACAGTGGTCAAGGAAATGTTCCCAAGTCTCTGTATATTCATCCGATAGTGATAGAAACATTTGACCAGTCTTCATGTTTCTTTTGACTTTTGTTTGAAACACATAAAATATACGTATCAAAGGGTTGTTGTTTATTTCTTAATAATTTTATTAAGAGATAAATTTTGTCTGCTAAAAAAAAATTTGTTTTTTAATAGTTTTAGAATTTTTTAAATGAGTTTGTATTTTGTATTTATCTTAATCATTCAACAACTTAATTCCATTATGAATAATTACCAGACAATTATATTTTATTTTGGACTATGTTATAAGAGCTTCTTAATTATTCTGACCACTTAATCATTCTGCATCAACCCATTCAATAACTGTTAAACAGTTCCTAAATCAAATTCCTTAAATCTTCTAAACCAACACAATTCAATAAAATTTAATCCTAATCATATATTTTAAATTATAATTGTCTTATCTTCAACYATTTGATTATTTAATTGTACGATGTAGAAACATTTTATAAGGTTGCATTTGATGAGTCTGTTGTATATATAATAAACATCGTAAAACCACTTCGTSTGATAATAAAACACGAGAGTAAACTACGAATTGGTTCCGGTGGTTTGTCAAAAATAACACTTTCCGTGCAGGCAATTTCAAATGTAACAGATCACATKTKTACAACTAATGCAATCCAATCAATTGAGATATTTATGAAAATGATGAGAGTTTATTTATTATGATTCGAATATTTATGKAAGATGAYTATGGTTTATTAACTATGATCAACACTTTATATTATGAAACGATCAAAAYTTTTATCAAATCACATATTAATCAAATTAAATGRACAKGAYGRTTGAGATTGAGTTGTATYGGTTGTACAAATRTAAATGGTTGCATAATAACTCACTCCCACAAAATAAATATGTAAATATATAATTATCAAAAACGTTAATCAATTAAATAATAATTTTATTTTAATAAAAAAATCATTTTCTAATTAATTATATRATTAAAAAATACACTTAGTTTTAAAAAATTATAAATATATTTAAACTAAAAATATGGATATCTATTTTAAGAGACGAAAAGGGTCGTTTTCATTAATTGTGAAGCTGATTTTTACGGCTAGCATTTGGCTAACCGGAAAACAGTGGCCGCCGACAAGGACTGACGGCGATGTTGAGAAGACTTTCCGACTAACCACTTGACTCATTCAAATTTTAATTCATTAAAACTCCTACTTCCATTGCATTTGCATCCCAACCACCTATTTTTGGTAATAATTTTTTATTTTTATATTTTATAGAATTAAAATGATACTTGTATAATGCAACGAGATACATCTTGATTTTAATGTTTTGTTTTTTTGTTTCAGTTGATGTTATAATACAGTTTTATATAGTTTTGAAAAAACGATAATATTTTTATTTTTACAATAAAATTTAAATATGAAGACATATCATAAAAAATGGAAAGAAAATATTGATATTAGTAATAAACTAACCATTTAAATTTTTTTATTTTTGGTTTAATAATATAATTTGTAAAAATATACTTAAATATCATAATTAAGTATTTTATAAAAACTCAATGATTATCTTAAKTAAATTTTATATTTAAAATSTAATGATTATCWTATTTGATTATGTTTATTTGCAGTTAATTACACRAATTCAAACATGAAGTTTAATAAGTTGTACTCACGTACAATTACTTGTAATATTGCATAAATAAACAGTACTTCATGCATAAAAATGGTTTTAAGAGTTTTTGTCAAATTCTTTATAATATGGTATAGATAAGTTTAAATTTTAGAAATTTGACTAAAATAGTTAATTTTTCCAAACGAAATCACTTTTTAACATTTTTTAAATTGAATTTTCATTTTATCTATAGTTTATGTAAATGTCTTACGTATTTACGTAAAACTTATTTTTAAATTAATAAAAAAAATATTTTTTTCACATAAATGAGGATTCTTACATAAATTTGACGTAAATTTTTTATTTCTTTTAATTTAATCTGAAAATCAAATTTATAYAGATATATAAGACGTTTATGTTAACTCTCACTAAAATCAGATTTCTCTTTAGCATATGCTTTTTACTTTCAATCAAGTCTTCCACTTTCCCATGTAAAACTTTAACCCTTAGCTACCTCTTTTCAACTTGTTCATTTCAGGGGCCGTTTATCAAATTTTTATCTGGTAAAAGCGATGATAAGGATTAAGAGTCTTATCAAATAAGTGATGGTCATGGCTTTTACCCGACTAGCACTTAACAGATAAGTTGTCACATATAATTAGGGGTGACAATGGGTCAGGTTGGGTTGGGTTCGGGTTCGGGTTCAACCCATTTATTAAACATGTTGAAAATCTCAACACAACCCAACCCATTTAATTAAATGGGTTGAGATTTTTCAACCCAACCCAGCCTGTTACTTAAATGGGTTGACAGCAGGTTGACTTGTTCACGATTTTCTTAACCCAACCTGTTAAATAAATGGGTTGAATCTGAGGTGACCCATTTAATTTTAAAATTTTAAATAAAAAAAGAACTAGACTATTTAACTTTTTTGAATAAAATTTAATACAACCACAAATACAACCAAATTGTTCAAAGTTTGAATAAAAGACAACCACAACAAATATATTGTTCAAAATAAGTTAGAAATTTTTAAATTTTAAGTAACGCGACTTCCACTTTCATCAAGCCCAATTTCACTCTCGGTATTACTTTCTTCTTGATCATCTATCTTCTCTGTCATGATTGCTCCACATAGCGCCTTAAGTTGCGATTCAATTTGTACTATGTAAATAAATTATATTACAAGTTGGGAACTGTTTGATTCTATCAACAAAACACAAGCAGAAGTCGGAAGATCTTTTATTTTAGCTCCGCAATGGTGAATGACTCTGCTATCGCTCAAGCCTCAATGCCTCAACCTCAAATCGAAAACTGAAACCAACCGAAATCTTTGATTGGAGAAGGTAGAACTCAAAAGAAGGGGCGAAGATTGATAAAATCAACTGAAGAAGATGAAGAATTGAAGACGCGAGACTCATGATACTGAATTACTGATATTGTATGAATGATTGAAAATCGAAACGTCGTTTAACTCGTGCATTGTGATACTGAAACTTGGGCCAATTTATTTAACAAGAAACAAAATAAAAAATAATATAATAGATATAATATTAAGAATAAAATAAATTCATATAATATTTTAAGTGGGTTGAAAACGGATTAAAAACAGGTCAAAAAATTTAACCCAATCCAACCCATTTATTTAAACAGGTTAGATGGGTTGACCCATTTATTTAACTGGGTTGAAAATCTYAACCTAACCTGTTAATTCTGGGTTGAATTCGGATTAGATTAATAGGTTGGGTCATTTTTTGTCACCCCTACGTGTAATGTTGTTTCGAATGACTAGAATGATCATTAATTTTCTTATATTTTTTTCAATAATTATTAATTCATGGATTATTCCGAGGTATCCCCCACGTGCACCACCACTTGTTGGTGTCATATWTTAACGAAGCTTCACAGCAATGGCGGCCGGTGGTTGCTGTCAAACATTTGAATCTGAATTCAACCCACCACATACGACCCACAATAATCAATATATTCTTTTCTGATAATCTTCTTCATATTTATAACACGAAATCAAAATCCACAAATGTAGCAAAGAATTCAAGGAAAAAAAATCTAGGGTTTTAATCGATTCTGCCGCCATGGATGCAAATCAAGAAGCTGCCGGCGGCGGCGGTGGTAGTACTACCGGTGGTGGTGAAAGAGGAAGAAGAGAGAACAAGTACAGAGGAATCCGACGGCGGCCATGGGGGCGGTACGCGGCKGAGATACGTGATCCCACCAGAAATGGTGCACGGTCGTGGCTGGGAACGTTTGATACGGCGGAGGAAGCTGCTAGGGCTTACGAYAGAGCTGCTTATGCATTAAGAGGTCATCAAGCTATTCTTAACTTCCCTAACGACGGCCATTACCGGAATGTTAACTCCTCCACAGCCGAGCCGCCCTCAACCTCCGATTCTTCTTCAATAATGCCGCCATTGCCGTTAAACCCATCATCATCATCATCATCAATGTCGTCATCATCATTATCCTTATCATCGTCATCATTTTCATCGAGAAACAACAGGGGACGACGAYCGGAGGCGGTGATCGAGTTGGAGTATTTGGATGATAAGCTGTTGGAAGATCTTCTTGGAAAGCATTCTCCAACAAGATAATTAGAACGAAAAGGGTTTAAACGAGAACGATAGGAAAATGTTGAGAATTTCAGAATACCGGAAAAAATGATTTTTTTTGTACGGGTTTTTGGGGTAAAAATGCATGGGATTTCATTACGCGACGAACATTGAGGAAAAAAATTGTGTAAAAGATGCGTTTTAGATGACATTTACGTTTGAAGTACATGTTTTACGTGTRATTTAAACGGTTGTTTATTAAATTTAGCGGGATTTTAGTATKAATGTATCGGGCATTTTGTGTCGTYGATGGTTGCAAATGTATGGAAACGAATGAATATACGTTACGTTTGATATGTTGTCTTTGGTTGTTTTTAATTTTACATGTAAATTGAATCAAATGGTAAGTTTCTATACTGTCTTAAAAATATCAGAAGTTGAGTAGTGAATTTAATTTAGGGAAATCACCYAAAATGACCAATTTATACATCGYAGATTAAYAAAATGACCATTTTTTAGACTTTTTTAATAAAATGACCAAAAAAATCGTCTATRGAAGACGATTTTACCTTATGGGGGCGATTTTGTTATTTGAGATACAAATTGGTTCTGCATGCATACCATTTGAGGGACAAAAATAYGATTTTTCTTTTATCATTTTATGCAACATCGATTTTGACTGTTATTTCGTCMTGTAGTGAAGACATTTTATGACCCAACTTTTTGGTTGATTTGACAACTCAACGACGGCGTGACTAGACATAGGGGGCGGTTGTACATATTATTTCGTCTTATTACGAGACGATTTTGTATAAAACGTCCATAGGAGGGGACTATTTYATCACCATTTATCGTTTGGAATGACCCGCCACTTCTAACATACACGGAATCGTTATCACTTTGGCATGATTTCATATTTGTGTTAAGGGTTGTGATGGTAAATTGTGTTTAAGGGTTGTGAGAATAGAAGTGTTTGGATTACTACGTTTTTATATAGAATACTACAAGAGTTATATATACTACATTCGATCCTAAACAAGACAAAATACCAATGCAAATCGTCCCGATATCTAGTCACGTCGTCATTGAGTTATCAAATCAACCAAAAAGTTGCGTTATATAATGTCTTTACTACAGAACGAAATAACATTCAAAATCGCCCTCGGGGGCGATTTTGTATAAAACGATAAAAAAAATTAAGATTTTTGTCCCCTAAATGGTATGCATGTGYGACCCATCCGTACCCTCAAACCCAAATAGCCCCCAATAAAGTAAAATCATCATCCAGGAGCAATTTTTGTCGTCATTTTGTAAAAAAAGTCTGAAAATGAACATTTTAGAAATTGTTAAAACGTCCAAAAGCGTTCCATAAATCTATTGCAATAGTTTTAGATATATAAGATGTTTTATCATTTGGTTATATAAACTTATGTCCTATAAAACAGTCTATTGGACAATTATACAATTTTAAGGTCTTGTATACCCAATTTTGTTGTAGTAAACATTAGTTTCAATGTTATCAAAGAAACTAATAGGTTTAAACGTGTAATTCAAATTCTTAATCCAAACATCCTTTTATTTCATATTACTAAAACAAATCTAATTTCGAAATCATGGGTTTAAACATCAACCTCTTCAAAAACATGCAACACGTCGAACCTCACATTTAAATCGTTTGATTATTGAGGTTTCAGACTCCGAGGTTATTACCATCCACTGTAATGATTTCTAGTGGTTTTCTAATTCTCACGTAGGATTTCTGATTAATAAATCGTGCTGGTTGTCAATATGGTTTTTAAATAGGAAATTGGTTTTTGGTAATTGTTAATGTCAAATCAGTACTTTTTACTGATGTGATAATGAATAATATTAGAAATTATAAGGTATAATTTGTGTCATACAGAAGGGCGAAACACAAGCCTTTAGCCAAGGGGGCCGAGCTGCTCCTTTATACAAATTTATCAGTTAGAAATGTAAGCATTAGATATATGGAGTTCCGGTTCAGATTTTCGATATACGGAAACTCAGAAAGTGTTACTGAGAACAAAATTTTATATAAACATAATTTATTGATTAATAGGATAATTCTAAATTTGAAGACCAGAAATGATGACCCCATTTTTAGTTTACTAAATTTAATATTAGTAAAATTATTTTGCATGATTTTTACTTAATATATTTTATTTAAAAAGAACCCATTGACAATACATTGATTATTGATGCTAATCTACTTGCAAACATAGARACTAAAGCATTAATAATGAACTAGTCTCCAAATTTGGTTGTCAATTCTAGTTCTTTTAGGACATTATAATATACGTATGTGATTATTGTTGAGCGAATACTATTTTCGACCACTGACTACCATCATTTGTTGCCACCGCCCACTTACCACCACCACCCATTACCACCAATACTACCATTGTTAGCCACCTCCCACTCTTCCTATACAGCAAGAACGTCCTCTATGACCTTCGCAACCACCGACCACCACTGTCCATTGCCACCTCTATAACCACCATCAGCCGCCAACCACCATCGTCCTTTGCCGCCACCACTACCACCATTGGCCACCTCCAACTCCTCCTCTACTACAACAACGTCCTCCACAACCACCACCATTGGCCACCTCCAACTCCTCCTCTACTACAACAACGTCCTCCACAACCACTGTCAATTGCCACCTCAATTCCACCACCACCACTATTATCTTCACTACATCTACTACAACTACCTCCTCCATGGTTGTCAACTGCCACCACCACTACAATCCACCGTCTTCACATCCTCTATAACCATTGTCGTCCACCAACCACCACGGCCTCTACCTCCATAACCACGGTCGGCCACCGACTACCACCGCCCATCGCCACTAATACTGTCGGCCACCACCCTCTCATAGATTTTTTTTTCCTTTTGGAAGATACAGGAGCGAAAATTCCTACTGGATGCACGCCAATGGGACCCTCCAATAAGTCTATTGGGGTCTTCTTTTCGTTTTCGCACTATTACGGATATGAAAATAATGGGAAAAATCGGATTCAGTTGTCAACTGTCCCTATTGGAACTACCACCACCACTATCACCATCACTACTACTATCATCAATTATAACAAAATTTTCAATCAAATTTGGTACCATTATATATGTATGTATTCATTTATATGACAATTTTGTGCAAAATATTTATAAATTTAATTATTTAATGATTTACTTTATTTGTGTTAATTATAACTAATATATAATACTTAAAATCATCAAATAACTTTTGTAGGTAACTTGTCTAATTCTGTCTCGTCCAATTCTAGTCGTACCAAACACAAACATACATTTGTTTTGTCCAATCTTGTTCAATCCTATCCTCTTGTCATATCCAGTTATGTCATGTCCAATCAYGTCTACGCTACCTAATGGTTGCACCTTTTATATGCAAAAAGAAATACCTATAAAAATTGGGTTGAGCAGGTGCAATGCTCRGATAGGTCCATCCCTAAATACATACTTAATTTATGTACTGTATGAAAATCTCACGACACCAAGTTTAACGGAAATACCATATCGATATTTTTAAATAAGACCATCTATGCAGAAGATTGTTCACTTACCAAAATGGAATACTATTTTAAGGGTCCGTTTGGTTTGCGAAATTATTTTTGGGGGATTTAGATTTGAATGAATTTGAAATCRTTGGTGTGTTTTGTTTGTAAGATTTGGAATGAAATTTGAATTTAATTATTATCGATTTAGTTTAGAAAAAAACTTGATAGACTTTCCTGTTTAGAATGATTAAATTATTGAACAATTTTTCTTAAATGAACAAGTCATTAGACTTTCTGAAACTTGTTAAATAAATTCTTTGGACTTTTAAAAACCTATTAAATACATCCTTGTTAATTAAAAATGTAGTCTGCAACCTGTATAGCAGGTAAAACTACAAATTAAAATAACCCCCCCGCCCCCTAAAAACTATCATGAACAAAAACAAATGATTTTTTTCTATGTCACTCTTTTGTCTTAAATTGAATATTTAAGTTAGGGGCCGTTTACCAAACTCTTATTTGGGTAAGAGCTTACCGACTCACATTACCTTACCGGATGAATGCGATAAGGACAAAAAATCTATACCTGGTAAGAGCCAAGGCAAGGAAAAGAGTGTTATCCGGTAAGTGAGGACGATTGACTCTTAACATGGTAAGCGCTTACCAGGTAAATTGTTGCATACAATGTCGTTTTCGTGAACTAAAATCTTTCCAGGTAAGTAAATGATAATGTTGAATATTACCGGTAAGCGCTTACCGGTTAAGTGTTTGGTAAACGGGCCCTTAGTTAATCGATCAACGTTATAAAAAAATTATTCAATTTGTACGTCGTATTAATATTAATATATTTTTATATTTTTTTTATCATATAGAAACCAAACGATTAAACACCATTAAAGATCATCAATTTTTTCAATTTGTATCGTCGATGGAGAAGAAGGATCGACTAGAGGAGGTCGCCGGTGGTGAATAGAGTGGGTGAGACGTCGTAGATGAAGTTGTTGGTGGAAGATGGTGGTGGCGCACAGTGGTCGCAGGGAGGGGTAGACCACRATGGTATGACGACATGAGGTGGCTTGCGACTGGAGATAGTCGCTGGCGGTGAGTGGAATCGAGGGGGCCACAAATTATGAAGCGCGGTGAAAGGGAAAAGAGGTTGTTGAAGAAGACGGTAAAAAAAATAGGACGGTAAAACTAGCGTTGTGTTCCTAAAATAWAAGGTAAAAAAACTCTTTTTGGTTTTTCAAAATTTTTGAAATTGAGAAAACGAAAAATAAAAATAAAAATAAACAGATAAATACAGATATAAAAAAACAAATTAGTAACAAAAACTCTTTTTTTCTTTATATATATWTTTTAAGAGAAACAAATTAATAAATAAACACAAAAGGGCYGTTTACCTAAACACTTACCCRGTAAGCACTTACYGGTAAAATTCAATACTATTGCTTACTTATCRGACAAGATTTTATTCACTAAAATGCATCGTAAGCAACAAYTTATCCCGGTAAGCGCTAACCATRRTAAGAGTCMTCRTMTTCAYTTACTGGGTAAGACTTGAGATTCTTGTTTTCGCTCTTACCGGGTAARATTCTTARTATTTGTCATATTCATGCGGKAAAGTAARGTGACTTGGTAAACGCTTATCCKGGTAAGCGTTTAGTAAACRACACCARAGATTATTAAATTTCAATACATGACACACATTTTATTACTTCACAATTTCATGATCCAAATACATTTAAACATTACCATTTGATCAGTTTAAACCGTAAGTTTAAAAAGACTTGAAAAACCACACATAACATAACACCTTGAACGTGCTCATAGCTTAAAACACTGGAGGGCCGATTCGGCCTCACAGTTGTTAYCGATGAAGGCATTGAAAAACTCTTTGTACGTGTAACCTCGGTACACTGGCGCTGGGGTATCGGTTGGACCATCCTCAGGTTGTATCAAGATGTCGTTTGAAGGAGTCAGAAAGGTCCCGATGGTGGTTCGTGATCGCTTCAAATCGGTCACCACTCGGTGCACCGCACTTGATAGCTTCCCGTTGCTTATAACCTGTGATCAACTTTAGCACCCTAATTAGTTTTGATRCGATATATGTTGGAACTTTCATTCTCTTCTCAATGGCTYTTATGAGCASTAATCTGAWGATGTTYCTATATTCTCAGATATATGTTGGAACCTCCATTCTYTCCTCAATTGCTATTTTGGAGAGTAATTTAATRGGATTTCACATATTCTTACAWATATGTTGGAACCTCTATTATCTCCTCAATGACTTTTTTGGAGATAAATATTTGATGGGGTTTCAGATATTCTCGCAAAACGACGTACCCGTAACTGAAGGCCCGGAATGACAACGAAAGCATGGGGAAGAGGCTCAACCCCGATCCATTGACCGTCTTTTCGAGCTTGAAGTCCACAAACATCTCCTTGTTGAAGCATGCTAATAAGATTCGGATCACAATGYTGGGGCATTCCGAGCGTTAAACTCGGATCGGGGCACGGAATGTGATGATTCACCGATATCAATTGATTCTTGCTCATTTCACCTTTGAAATACCCGGTTTCGAGTCCGATTCCATCGCAAATTAGCTCCAAYATCGTTAATAGAAACTTCCTCGATTCAATCGAGTATTCCGCAACGACTTTCCTGCACGTTTTGTAGCTAAAAATCAGTCGAAAACCRTACAAGAATTGTGGGGTTTTCATGTTTAGATATCAAGATTTCRTTACCGATAATTGAGCGGGTTTTCAGGCCAATGGTCGATATGATCTTCAACCGGATGACACCGGTGGGTCAAGTTATCTCTCCAGTAATGAACCTCTTCGTTTTCATARTTTAACGTGCTCGTGTAAAGTCGACAGCTCGAGTTCAAGTCATTCGAATAGAATCTCGCTTTRAAATCCGCGGGCGCCGCAAAGAACTCTCGGAAAACATCCATCGTTCGGTCCATTAAGTCTCTCGAAACTCCATGATTGATCACCTATTTTGCACAAGTCAATCGACCAAATCAAGTTCGTTAATATCATATATAAACACTAGAAATTTAATCACCTGAAAGAGTCCGAAATCTTGGCTTGCTGTTATAATTTGCTGAACGATTTGCGATCGTTCAGGACCCTCGATTCCTTCAAGATCGATGATCGGAATCTCGTTGCTTGCCGGAACTTCGTTGGTTCCCGGCCTCTGTTCTGGTGGGAAAACGTAGCTTTCCGGCAAAGATCGAACGTCAGACCAGTTTGAAATGAGAACCTCCATGATTTYCGATTGTACGATTCGATAGATAGATTATTCGTAAATATTTATAATCAAGATAGTGTAAACTTCAACATCGTAACGTTATTTAATTAATGGGTTTTTTTTGTTATCGTTGTGGTCCTATAAATAATGGACCACAATTAATTGTATTTCTGAAAGATATATGTACGGATTTAAGTTATTATAACTTCAAATTTATTTGATAATATTTACGTTATTTAATAATARTAATAATTAATATTATTTATGAATTTCCGAAAAATATTTGGTAAAACTTCAAATCAACATTATAATTTATAATTTGTGGTTTAAAATTTTTATTATTAGTTTTCTTGTTTTGATTTTTGATTACTAGAAAGGTACCCGTACAATACAGCGAGATACATATCTATGTTAATGTTTCGTTTTACTCTTATCTCTACGATGTCATAATATGATTTTATGTGGTTTTAAAAAACGATAATGTTTTTATTTTTGAATAAAATATAAATTTGAAGATATTATAAAAATTTGAAAAAACAACATAATATAATTTTTTAAGTTTAATAATGAAGCAATTTATTTTTTATATAATAATGTATTTTTTATAAAAATAATAATTAAGTATTCTGTTAGAACTCAATGATTATCTTAATTAAATTTTAGATTTTTTGTAATTAAAATGAGATCTTTATCATGTATTTAATTATGTTTATCTGTAGTTAATTATAAAATTCAAACATAAAACTTTAATAAGCTGTAATTACACACAATCTACTTGTAGTTTTGAATTTTAAGTAATATGCATCAATAAACAGTACTTTATGCATAAAAAAATGTTTTTAAGAGTTTTTATCGAATTCTTAGAGAATCTTCAACAACTATGTTATTTTAGAAATTTTGAAGATTTGAAAAAGTTTGTTGTAACAATTATGCTAATATCTATATTATATTATAAAGAATTTGACAAAAACTCTTAAAAACAACTTTTTATACATAAAGTACTGTTTGTTGATGCATATTACTTAAAATTCAAGATTACAAATTGATTGTGCGTATACAACTTATTAAAGCTTCATATTCGAATTTGTATAATTAACTGCGGATAAACATAATCAAATACATGATAAACATCATTTTAAACATAAAAAAATCTAAAATATAATTAAGATAATCATTGAGTTCTAACAG